GAACACGTCTGTCAGTTTGGCTGTCTATATTAACCATGAGGGAAACCCCGATCATTTTGAACTCTCTTGATTAATTGTGTTTGATTGTTTGTAACCGGCGTACTCCACATTATATCTAACTTTCAATTTTGTGTTAAAAGACTTTGTTGGATTTCCTGAAGAGATAGCCCGTGAAATTGACATAATTATTGAAAAATTAGGTCACGTTGACCTGCAGGTTCTCCTAGAAAAAGAGTAAGTAATATGGAGGCTACCCTTCATTCAGAAGTCTCATTAGACCAAAAGAGGGACGAAAGATACCAGAGGGACAGTCAAACTCATAGATCGAAAACAAACTGACAACGCCATGGCAAAAAAAAACCAAAAAGACAAACAGACAAATAATAGTACGGATGACACAACATAGAAAACTAAAGACTAAGCAACACGAACCCCACTAAAAACTGGGGGTGATCTCAGGTGCTCCTGAAGGGTAAGCAGATACTGCTCCACATGTGGCACCCGTCGTGTTGCTTATGTTATTACAAATCCGGTACATTGTCTAATTCGGTAGGTCACATTCGTGAAAAGGGAAGGGTATTGTAGTTACGACATAAGGAACATATCCGATATCATCTGTGAAACGGTTATTCCACAACGGTCAACCAACTCGTGATGGCGTCCGTAAAATTTACGAAGGGATGATTTCAACTTCACCATTTGGAACTCTTGGTTTAATAGCTTCCTTGTGAGCAGCAATCCTCTATCAAGGAAATCATGATAGGAAATACAAGCCCGTACCAATTTGGAGATATATACTCCGTATGCAGGCGCTGCTTGAATGTTGCTACATAGAAATGGAAAGTTCACAATTGGGAAGCTGAAATCATCTCTTTTGTCGTAAAGTTTTGTTTTCAACCGACCCTCATTGTCAATTTCTAGATGTAGATCAAGATATGAGGCAGACGTAACTGTATCTGTAGTATCCTTTATCTCTAGTTCGATGGGATAGATTCGTTCAACATAGTCACCAAATTTTGTATTATTTAGTGAGAGAACATCATCTATATAGCGGAACGTAAAGATAAGGATATTGCTAACTTCTTATCTTTCTTCCTAAGAAGTTCCTGTATGAAGTCAGCCTCATAATAATAAAGAAACAAGTCGGCAAGAAGAGGGCACAATTGGTTCCCATTGGAATTCCGATAGTCTGTTGAAAAACATGTCCTCCAAACGTAACAAATATGTTGTCAATCAAGCAATCAAGCATTTTGATAATGTCAGTTTCAGAGAATTTTTTGTTTGAATCAGACTGATTCTTTACAAAGTAGGATTTATCCCTCCCCGAGACAAGATACTTGTATCTACGTTAGCCATTCTTTTTAATGAAACAAAGTAATACCAACTCTTTCAATTTGTCTTTTAGTTTGGAATGGGGAATACTTGTGTAAAGTGTAGAAAAGTCAAATGTTTTAATACTATTGCAAGATGAGAGAGTCTTAGATTGTATGTACTCTAAACGATCTTTGGAATTTTTTAGTATCCACATCTGATTCACGCCACCTCTAGAATAGGCAGTTTCACAATAACTTTGGAGCCCGGCTTTGATTGCTGATAAAATAGATGTTAATAATTTCGAAAGAGGTTTCGTGGAGCACTTGGAAGACCCAGCAATATACCGTTGTTTGTAAAGACACTTATGTAGTTTAGGTATCCAATACAGTGATGGAAGATCCAGTTCTTCATTTTTGGTTGAAATTCCAAAGGAACATAGAACAGACCTATGATTATCCAGGATTTCCTCTTTGGTAAGTGTCGTGAGGGTATATGTTGAGTTTCCAAATGAATTGTCAATACCTAATTCATTTATCAAGCAGTTTATGTAATGATATTTACACACAAAAACAATGTTGTTTGGGGCTTTATCTGCAGGGACAACAACATATTTGTCATGGAGGTAGGACAAGTGTTTTGCAACACTTAGGTCTTTAAAAATTGACGTAGCGTGGGTATTGATAGATCCATTTAGTTTCTTGATTCGGATTTGTATCAACGACCTCACAGCCTTAATCCATTCGGAAAGAGTATCTACGTCTTCTTTCTCGCGTTTAGCCCATTGCCTGGCATAATCCACGACTGAATCCATCAGTATTTTGAAGTTGTATTTCCAATTGATGGATTTAGGCTCACGATATATCGGACCTTTGGATATCAAATTTCACAGGGAAGTGTTTTTGACAATGTTGAGGTCTCCGGTAATAACGTGGCCAGCCGGATTATATGTGAATTGGGAACTAGCACAGGTGCAATCAGGAGGTTTAAACTTGAAGTCGTCAATGTTGAGATCCTGAAAAACGTGTTTGTAATTGAAAAGTTTAGTTGCAATTGGTTTTGTATAGGTATAAGAAATTATTGGTACAGACTGATCTTTAAAATAAGGAGGTATTTTCGACTGAACTAATTTATGATGAAGGATATTGCTAAGTTGACGCCATCGAGACCTCTGTTGGCAAAGGAAAGTTTAAGAAAAGATCTTTTCTCTTTTTCATCTTTTCCAATGCGAACTGGTTTGAAAAGTCTGTGACTTGCAATATCCGAAATGATAGCTGTACGTTTGTATTGGTTTGAATGAGGGTTTGTAACAGTGGTTTCCAAACATAAATTGAACAGAGAATGAAGTTTTGAAAGGGGTAATGAATACAGTTTCATGCGAATGTGATAAATACCTAACGGCTTTTGTATAAATGGCAGCAAGTCATTAATAGAGACATCATGCAAAGTAGGTGATGTATAAAGACGATGACCATGACTGCGTCTACGTCGAGGAGTAGAGTTGAAAATATTCATCACATTCACCGAGCTTCAGGAAGGACTAGATAGAATACCTATACCATCAATTTTGTCATTGCAACCATATGGTGTCCAATGCTCCTTAGTGACATGTACATCTACATGTAGCACTACACGAATTCAGGTCACTTCGGCACCTGGTTAAATCGAGACCTGGTTAAATCGGCACTCGAAGTAGTTATTTTGGCATCCAAAATTAACATTATGTTTTGCAAGTAAACTACATGTATTCAAGACATCGTTTTAATATTTTTTTTTTTGTATTTTCACTTGAGGTGTCAACATATATTTGTTCCGCATAACAGAATTTCGAATGGAAACTTGGATTTATGTAGATATGTTCAATTAGTGGTGAAAAAGCAATGGTTGTAAAGAGGATGCAAACATTTGTACACAACACAAAATGAGACATCACTTCAAGAACTGTGTAGTGCGGGTACAAGTCAAATCGGCACCTGGTCTATTCGGCACCTAAAGAAAGTCAAATCGGCACCTGGTCAAATCGTCATCTAGTCAAATCGGCACTTATTTAAAGTCATTTCCGCACTTAATATTATTTTTTACTTTTTTCTTTCCTTGTATGACAAATGTATGAGGTATGGAGAGAATAGTTATTGGGGTTTTTTTTGTGGATATATTTTGTTATTGCTAAATTTTTTTGGGAAAATATTGAACCGATCTGGATATTTTTTGAGTGCCATGTTTTAACAGATAAAATTGCTCGAAAACAGCAAAAATAAGCCTTTTTGGCATATTTCGCTGGTTTAAATAAAAACATATGGTAACATTTATAATTTTTTGATAGTTGTTCCTAGTAATACATCACTTTAAGTGTAAGAATGCATTGAATTAACAATGCTGTCTATTAAGTGTATGTATAATCTAACTGTTTCAATATTTCTTATTTAGCTACATGTCCAAAATGGCTGATTTTGGTCATCTTTCAGAGCAAAAATACTCCAAGACCCGTTTATTATTGTAAAACAACATATCTACTTGCAAGGTATAACTTTATATACCCAATCAAAAAAATATCAAGCTCGGCAAATTATGTTGGTGTCTGGTATATGCCACAACAAAATGGGGTAACCTGCATATTCAAATTTTCTCTATTTTGCCGTCTAATTTGTAACTACTGACATATGATAGGATCTGGACTTATAAATAAGTATAACAACAAATGGAAAAGAATAATTAATGTTTCATTTAATACATTAAGAAAATAATCATACATAAATACAAATTATTCATTATAAATCTAGAGGCTCCCAGGAGCCGAAATAGATCGTATTGACAAATTGTGCACCTAAAACGATAAAAAACACATATTTCAAACGCAATCAATTTAAATTAGAAGTTAAACAATTCAGAATAAGTTCAGACTGTAAAAAAAAGTTTCTTCTGACCACTTTTGCAATTTATTCTTATAATATATTGATATAGTTGTCGAATAGTAGCAGAAAACTGTGAAAATTTGTAAATTTACACATTTCAGGGACAATAGCTCATAGATGTTATGTCCAATTTTTCAGAAAAATTTTGGGTATTTAGATCTTGTCATGTTGATAGTTTTTATCAATATATATATATATATATATATATATTGAAAAGTTTTTAAATTTTGTATACATATATATATGTATGACACTTCTTCTAAAGTTATTAAGATGATGGTTTAAAAGTGAAAACTATAAACAGATGATTTTAACAGACACTTAGTGATGGAAATTTTTTTATGACCCTTTGAGCCTAGTATGCTAACAAGGCAAGATTTGCCAGGTACCTATATCTATGTTGCTGCAATGTGGTCAATACAAACATCATGAAAATCATAAATGCTTCAAAAAAAAAATCCCATAACTAGACGAAAAACAAATTACTTAGTCTATATATACCAGTGCAAAATTTATAAAGAACTTTGAATGAAATTGGATAGCTGTTAAGATTACTGTACCTATAATGCTCTACATCACATCCTCGGAGATAACAGAATTAAAATACATTGTAAGTCATATGAATCTTCAAATTTCAATAAAGTTGAATGTTTTTTTTTTATACTTGAACGGCTATAGGTTTTACTATAAAACAAGTGTACATTAACTTTCCTGTAAAAGAAAAACCATAACATTAAAATCTCCATAAATGATGAACTGGTATTTTTTGAGACCTCATCCCATGGAAGATTTAACTGATGTTTTAAAGCTGGAAAGTTTCTGTTGCTTGTTTGGTTGGTTGAAATTGTTTCTGTTAGAAGCATTATCAGTCTCCCAATCTGATGTTGACTGCTGTGAAAGTTCAGTTGTTGTTGACACTGAAAGAAAGGTTAGCTGCGAGTCTAGATCTGAAAACCACAAAACATACATACATAAATCAGGCTGTTAGTTTTCATATTTTTTCATTTTCTTATTTTGGGGCCTTTTATGGCTGAATATATATGCAGTATAGGTCTTGCTCATTGTTGAAGGCCATATGGCGTATGAAGACCTATAGCTTTACTTCTATGTCATTTGTTCTCATTGGCAATCATACCACATTTTTTTTTAATTTCATATATACCACTGACAGGAAATAAAATTAACAACTTTTACTGTAAGTGGATGCAGTTACAAAATTCTCCCAACTAAAGCCAAATCATTTTTGCAGAATAGTTATTATCCACTCCTTTTAAGCATGTCCAAATAGCCCTTAACATCTTTACAACAATAAAAATTGCCTCCATTTGGTTTGGCATGTCAAATTACCTCTCAATATAATTTAACATTGAAAACAGACAATGGTGATAATTTGACCGCTTTTAGTGACAATCTTTGAAATGGTTGCCATCTTTATATCTGTTCTCTGTGTCAAAGTACAGCTAAATATCAATATTCTTTAAATTCAAACTCAACAAAATTGAAAATTTTACCCTTTATTTGCTGTGTCCATCTTTAAAAAAAAAATTCAATGTTTTGTTGGCATGTCAAAAGTGCTATAATTCCTTTATGTCAATTTTCATATAAGGCCATCTTGAAAATGTTTGCCATTTTGGAAGAAAAAACAACCTTACTTTGTTTAGCAAGTCAAACTACCACGACTATCCCTAATTAACAATTTTCATTAAATTAACAAGTGTTGAAATTTGTGCCATCCTTGGTGACCATCTTGAAAATGTTTGACATCAGATAATCATCCACATATTGTGCTTTTCTTTTCACTAAAGTTTCATTTAAAAAGATAACACCAGTTATCTCAGAAAAAGAAAAATTTTGTGGAAGATGAAGAAAAACATGCAAGTTTGGACAGAACATTTAAGCTACAACAGCTCTAAATTTGTAATGGGATTAAATATTTGACAAAGAATAGGTTTCTAACACAGAATAAATATGGTATAAAGATAAAGTTTAATAGATTCAGCATATCAGAGAACCCCAAGATCAAATTAAGATTTAAAATTTAGTTTAATTTTGGACCCTTTGGACCTCAATGTAAACCAATTTCATAATAGGGTCCAAAAACTAAATACAGGTTAGATTCAGGCTGACTCAGCATCTTCAAAATTATTGTTGAAATCAAACACAGTTAAATTATGGACCCAATTTGAACCAACTTGAAAACTGGGACCAAAACCATAAATCTAAGTACATATTTCTATTCAGGATATTTGATTATTTCTATTTATTATTCAAAGAACCCTAATTCATTGTAATTAGAGTTCAAGTTTTGTTAAAATTAAACTAAGTTAAAATTTGGACCATTTGGACTTTTAAATGTGGACAAATTTGAAAACCGGACCAAAATTAAAAATCTAAATATAAAACATTTGAATTTTGTATATCAAAAGAACCTCAAGAATTCAAGTTGTGTAGAAATAAGAAAAAAAAATTTGGACCATTTTGAAATCAATGTGAACCAATTTAAAATGGGGCCCAATTGCAACATCTTAAATTATTTAAATACATTGTTAGATTTAGCATATTAAGAACCCAAATAATGTATTTATTTTAATTTGTTCTTGTCCTAAACACGCATGAACTATTTGCCATTGGACATTAGCATTACCAACAACCAATCAATTAATCGAACAGGTGAAATATCTTCAAAAGTACTAATAAAAATCTCCCCCTTTTATATTTGAAAAAGTAAAATCTCAAAAATACTGAACTCCGAGGAAAATTCAAAAAGGAAAGTCCCCCATCAAATGGCAAAATCAAAAGTTCAAACACATCAAACGAATGGATAACAACTGTCATATTCCTGACTTGGTACAGGCATTTTCTTATGTAGAAAATGGTGGATTGAACCTGGTTTTATAGCTAGATAATAAACCTCTCACTTGTATGACAGTCGCATCAAATTCCATTATATTGACAACGATGCGTGAACAAAACAAACAGACACAATAGGTAAAATTGTCAAAAATAGGGGTACAGCAGTCAACATTGTGTTATCATCTTAATCACTATAAAAACAAACAAATGTAACGAAGAAGCACAAAAAGGCATACATCAAGTTTAACATCCTCATTTTGCTTATATTATACGATTTTATATATCTATGTAAAATCCACCCATAAAAGATGGAAGGTTTTAAGTACTGGCGTAAAATCGTGCGTTTGAAATTCGCACAGGTAGACATAAAACAATTTTGTCGTTCAAAGTATGACGGGATAGATAAATACAGAGTGACGTAAAATGGATATCACAAAAAAACAGACTTAACAGTAAAAGTAATACGTATTAATAAATAAAATAATTGAAATGGAATGTATGAACAGTTCATTAGTCATTGTTAGTTATTGAATCGAAACTATAGGAGCCGCCCAATATAGTACTACAAATTAAAATTAGCAAAGTGATTTTTCAATGGGAAAACCAAGTTAACAAAGACCTGTTTAATAAAACTGATGTACAAATGTATAACATGTAATTGTATAATTGTATAATTATGTTATTATATAAGTGATTACATATACTTTGTATGATTACCATGTTATACAAACAGTTAAATTAATATATAAGTTAATAATAACTTACCAATATCTTCTTGTATACATGTATTTAGTATGACCTGGCTATTGTCACTTTTACAAAAATTCATCTTAATTGAGCATTGCTTGCATATATATAGCCCTACAAATAAAAAGTGTTAAACTGTAAAATAATTCTTCAATTTTGTTTTACATGAAATAAAATATATCAGACAGGAAATGTAGGGTAGTGTAGCATCACTGTGCATGTAGTTTAAATGTATGTTTTTTCTTTTAAAAAGGGCTCTATAAGTAATCTAAATACACGTACATGTAGGGTCCTAAAATTGAACTTTACAAAAGTTTGCAATGCTTTTGATTTTTTTAGTCTCCATGGCCTATTAGTTCATTAAAAAAATATTATTCTCCGGATAAAGTTGTCTAGTGTTACATGTACAGTTTGTTGTATGTAAAACATGTATTTGTAGGAGGCTTTTCCACGAGATAAAAGTTTTTTTAGTAGACAAAGAGCTGAACAACTTCCAGTAAGAACTGAAAATATAACTTAGGGGAACAGAATAAAAACCTGACCTGCTAAACGTTGAATATGTTGAAATCGATTTTGATTATTATCATGACTCTGGTCTATAAATTGATTTTTTAAAGCAGAAAATAAATATATATTGTACCCTGGTTAATAGCTTGAAAATTAAAATTCTGTCCTAAGCTGACAAGGATATATATTATTTGCTTGCACTTTGCCATAGGAAATAAATAAGATGTCTTAGAAACAGGTCAGGTGTAAAAGAATATTCACATGCCCCTTCAACACCCCCCCCCTTTTTTTAATCTAGCTAATGTATCAATTGTTGGTCCCCCAATTTCAGATTGACTATATGGAACAAATGCAAATTGATTGTAAGATTTGTACCTGTTCCTACTGGAATAACTCGTCCTGTATACAGCCTGTTTTGAAAGGGTGAAGATCCTTGGTCAGCTTTGGCTTTGCTGGAAGAGGGTTGGACGAGATGTTGACATCTTGCTTGACTATCATGTCAATGAATTCCATAAAAGTCCCTGTACTTCGAGCATATTCAAAGACAAGATGATGTAACAACCATGGGAAAATAAACCACTCCTTGTCTTATATAAAATAAGGAGTCCTGTTGGAAATTCTACACCATAGTTGTCAGTATTATTCAGACTTTCTAAATGTAGATGAGTGGTAGACTACTAGTCTGTATCTGTATGAATATGTTTGGTTACCAATGCTAGTTTCAATACCACGGTAGAGAGAGAGAGTCGTTGATTTATTGATGGTGCGCCAGAGCAGTTTTGACACTCTCAATCTCAATTTTGGTGCGAGCAAGGTGGTTCTATTCGCTCACTTTTTTTTACGAAGAATGATTTAGAATACTTTTGTTTTGCTCGTTGAAATCTAAAAACACTTTTTGCTGTTCATGGACTTATTTTTCCAATCAATATTTATCATGTTTATTCACTAAATTATTGTCATGATTGTCAAATTTCTTGGCAGTAATTATTTTTTTTGGAAATGCTATTTTGGTCTTTAGTGCATAATTTCAGATATCTTAAATAGTTTGTAATATGTAGATGTATAAGGCTGGGATAGCCCACATGCTCATCCTAGATTCTCTCACTAAATAATACAAAATTTGGTGACTATGTTGAACGAATCTATCCCATCGAACTAGAGATAAAGGATACTACAGATACAGTTTAGTCTGCCTCATATCTTGACTTACATCTAGAAATTGAGGGTCGGTTGAAAACAAAACTTTACGACAAAAGAGATGATTTCAGCTTCCCAATTGTGAACTTTCCATTTCTATGTAGCAACATTCCAGCAGCGCCTGCATACGGAGTATATATCTCCCAATTGATACGATATTCCCGGGCTTGTGTTTCCTATCATGATTTCCTTGATAGAGGATTGCTGCTCACAAGGATGCTATTAAACCAAGAGTTCCAAATGGTGAAGTTGAAGTCATCCCTTCGTAAATTTTACGGACGCCATCACGAGTTGGTTGACCGTTATGGAATAACCGTTTCACAGATGATATCGGATATGTTCCTTATGTCGTAACTACAATACCTTTCCCTTTTCACGAATGTGACTTACCGAATTAGACTATTTACCGGATTTGTAATAACATTAGCAACTCAACGGGTGCCACATGTGGAGCAGGATCTGCTTACCCTACCGGAGCACCTGAGATCACCCCCAGTTTTTGGTGGGGTTCGTGTTGCTTAGTCTTTAGTTTTCCATGTTGTGTCATCTCATATTATTTGTCTGTTTGTCTTTTTATTTTTGGCCATGACGTTGTCAGTTTGTTTTCGATCTATGAGTTTGACTGTCCCTCTGGTATCTTTCGTCCCTCTTTTATTAAAGTCACAAACTTCACTGTAAACATTTGTCTGCCAAACCATCACTGGGAGCTGACATGTTTGAGATCTTACCCAAGGGAGATAAGTCAATGGAAGAGAATAAAAGATGGACTTCCTGGTTTCAGACAATTTATTGATTTTTGGACTTGCAGTACAAATACGTCTTATTTCATTTTTCAGACAAATTGATTTTTCTTGTTCGAATGATTTTATGAGCCATTTTAGTACCAGTTGTGTTTAGAATTTAATTAAAATCAAAATCAAAATGTGTCAATTTGGGACTAAAATCACCATTCTTCCAAGGCATAAATTAACATATAATAGTCATTTGCCAATCTTAATATTTTGTTTTGATATAAAACATACCCCATAGTTAAAACCGATATAAGTTGCAAACAAATCCGGAATGGGTTTTGCAAGATAGAAGCGAATGAAAACCACGTAAATTCATGTATGAAAAACCCCGCCTTTGTGTCCCTTCTCCTGGCAATGTGCCAAATCGTTTAAATTTTCATTTGTATTAATCATAACATAGTAAAATGGATGAGTGTCAGCTGACATTACTCTAAAAACTCAACTACCCCATTTAATATGCTTCTGAGTCATTCTTAAAAGGCATAAAAAAGTTGGATTTTTCCTTGGTTTCATTATGAATTTACAGAATTATGCAAATGAGGCTGTTACTAAAAATAGATACGATTCTGGGAAAAATTAAGTGGTCAAATTCTTTTATTTAATGTCAAGGATTAAGATGATGTATAAAAATTTGTCAAGTTGTGATTGTCGATTTGGACGATTTTCTGAATATTGCATGGTTTTCTGGCGGATTTGCTCTTAATAAAAAAGTTATAGATATTTTCCCTTGATTTATATTTTTGGTGAGGACATCATCTTTGTCTTCATCTAGTCCCTTTTAAACATGTTTAAATTGAGGCTAATTTTTATTTTTAACATTTCAAAAAGAGCTTTCAGAAGAGTGGCATCCATAATTAATGTGCAGAAGTTTATTTACCTCATGAAGAAAGTTATAGTAGTATAATACGTTACAATCTGGTGAAGAAATCAAGGTTGGGTGTACCTAAAGGATTGTTAAGACAGCTTTTTGGTAAATTTGCATATCTATGCTGCTTAGGGGAAGAGTAAGTAATATATTTTAACTTTAACTCTTTACCTTTTACTACAAGAAGCTGTATTTCAGGAACAAATCCAGGATTTTGGATTGATTGATTAATCGATGGGTGTTTAACGCCACTTTCAGCACTATTGGTTATGTTGTGTCAGTCAGATTTTATTGTTGGAGGAAGCCAGAGTGCCCTCAGAGAACCATAGAACTGCGGCAGGAAATAGGATTTTGGAAACAGAAAAGTGACTTTTCCTTCCTGGAGAGACTGGGAAAACTTTGAGAAGTGTCATTTAGGTGTCAATATATGCCATTGTTTTATATTCATTCAGTTGTTTTGTCAATATTGTTTCCTGTCTTCATGGTCATGATCGTATGATTTCTGTTTCAAATGGAAAATAGAATTAAAAAATTGTTTTAAAAGCATCTTTTGAGTAATCCTACTTATACAATGTATGTATATACATGTACTGTAGATACATTATTATTCATGGGATATCAATTTTGGTGGGTTTCGTGGGTATAGGTGAACCACGAAATTAAATATTCAAAAAAGTACACATTTTCTATACTTTAAAGGCAGATTTTGCTAAAAACATGAAATTCAAAATCCACGAAACGACAATATTTCCTCAATTCACGAAAATTGGTACCCATGAAAATAAATGAATCCACAGTAGTTGAAATAAAATAAACTCAGCTTCCATTTATGTCTATGTTTAAGCAGAACCTAAACAGTCATTAGAATTATTGTCTTACTAATCACATTGAAGTTCACACCTTTTATGCCTTAACCATCCCCCTTCTATTCATAAGGTCAAATACAGAAATAGAGATTATGACTTACAAAGACGACAGGAAAACAAAAAGAGTCATTATGAGAGCTCAAGGACCCATTCAGTAAATCATGATATTTTGCAGCAAAAGTCAACATTGACATTTCTTACAATTACATAATCCTGTCAAATAACCACAAGAAATAATCTTATGTACAAGACCAGAATGTATAAGTACAAACTAATGATCTGGAAATATAAATGTGAATTTGTATGAATATGTAACTGTAATTAAAAAAGAATCTCACTATAATTTGGTTCAACAAGCTCATAGATATCTTTACTGAAATACACGAACTGCAAATTTATTTATAATATTATATTTGTATCCTAAATACAAATGAATTTAGATGAATAGTTAGTCTAGTAGGACACTTTTATTTTATGTGCGCTATAGACAATATTGCTACAAAACTGTGGATGAGAAATACCAGTTAATATAAGATTTTTTCGCAGTAAAATTATATTTAAGTTCAACATTGTTTTAGGTTTGTACATCAGTAGCATGAGCAGTAAAATTTACAAAACATTTCAACAATTCAATGATTATATTTAATTATGTTGTCATATTTTATTTTAGATTTTGTAATGAAGCGAATCAATCTGTTTGGGAAATTTAGATGGAATAGAAATTGTTACTTCTCAACCAGATCTTAGACTTTATAAATGTGGATTTAATAATAAGTACACAGGTGAAATGATATCAGTAACTCAGGTAAAGAAGCAACAACATTACAGCATTTGTAAGTAATGTCTCTCTCCACAATAGTAGGGATACATATTGTGTTTGTACTGGGTGTCCGTCTGCTCGTCCATCTGTCTGTCTGTCAGAAATTTTGTTCATCACTATATCTTATACATCAGTCAGGGGTAATAATTGTACAAGTGTTTTTTATTTACTGGTATACAAATATAGGTAAATTATTTTAGAGGTAGAGTTATATCCCTTAGACATTCACATATTTTTTACTTATATAAGTAATAAAGTCTTATTTTCTTCTACTCTCGAATTTCTCTTCAGTACATTGCTCTAACAGAGTGTTTAATTGTGTCTCATTAATAGTTGTCTTTACTTTTCATAAAAGTATAATATCATGTACAATGAAAATCTCATTTGTCTGTTATCTTCAAAATACTGCTCATTTACAAGCCTCCAGGGAGCAATTTTTGAAGGCCTTGCGCAGTTACTTAGCGCAATAGATTTCTTTGCTTAGTTCTTGAGATAAAAGGTTGAATTTTAATTAAAAATTAATTAGCAAACCCAAAAAATTTTGTTTAGCCATGTTTTGACCTCCCAAAACTTGAGAATGTAAGGGGTTGTAAAAAAAATTACTTGCATAAGTAAATTTTTGGAGAAGATTACGGGGAGATAATTAAAACTTTGAAAATAAAATAAAAATCTTACAAAATTATACAAGTAAATATTACTTACATCTTCAAGTAAATAAAGATGACTTGTATAAGTATTACCCCTGACTGTACATGTTATACGTCATTCATTGGAACTTATTACTTATTGGGACTATTGTGGGGCAAAAAGGTATAACCAATAGCGGTGTGTGCAAGTAACAACCTGTTATCCCCAACTCTTCCCAACCACACAATGTTTTGAAGTGAAAGTTATATACATACACATACTTAATAAGTTAATATATGTTGTAGTTGTGCACCATATATTTATTTTTTTCATTGAGAGACCATAGGGGACTTTTTATCCAATCTAAATATATATATATGTAGTAGCTTTGCCATTTATATAGAGAAACACCTTGCAATCCACAATTCCTTTCTGGTTTGAAGTGAAACTCATGCAATTTAATTTACATACAGTATCATGCCAAGATGATTTAAATTATATACATGGTAAGACCCAAAGGGTCATCCCCACCCCCTGTCATTTGAATATATTCAAATATCTTGTTAATTGTCGAACTCCCAACCCCTGAACCATTTATATTCTTGTTTGTCATGTCATGAAGATTTGAATGATATATAGGGTCAGTCTCAAGGGGTTCCCCCCATCCCCAATGTTCTAATATCTTGTAAATGGTCGAGATCCCCACCTCTGAACCATATATATTCCTGTTCGTCATTTCCCGAAGATTTGAATGACATACAGAATCTGTTCCTAGGCGTCACTAATGCATATCACTTTACTGGACCAAACCAATTTGTACTGGACTTTGCCCAATGTCAGGCGACCATGGGAATGACGAATTATGGGAGCTTCGTTTGGGAGACTTCGTAACAGCATCCTGTTACAATCATTTCTTGTTAATTTTACATTTCGCTTTTTCCATGTCATTTAGAGATAATCATGTTCATTAGTGTTTCTGTTACAATTACACCCTTTAGAATATTGTAATGAATATCATTAGATTATACATCTTTGTTTATCGTCTTTATGTTTTTCTGTTCACACAATCTATACTGTTACCTGATGTCCTGTAACAATGCAACACTACAAATTATAAGTTTGAGGAAATATATCAAGGTTAATTGTGTAATACTTTCTAGTCATTTGTAAGAATATTCATTTTTTTTTTGTCTTTTGCCCTTGATGCGTTCTAATCATCTCCATTTAGTTATTTCGATTAGTCTCTGTGTCTTTTCGTGTTTGTACCATCACAACATTCACACAAAGTGCATACCACATCATCGTTATTCAGCTGTTGTTTGAAGTGAATCGAGACACATTTATTAGTGTTGAGCTTGGGACATTTAAGTTATGAAAGCGATATATAGCGATCCTAGATTCCGGCGTTGGTTGCGTCAACAATTAGGTTCAGTCTGTGGTTAAAGTTTTGTTAGAAATCAATAACTTTGACTAACCTTCATGGAAGTTTAGGAAATTTGGACAGAGGCTTGTTTATGACAAAAATGTAGTAACAAGAGCAAAATTTTAAAAATATTTTTTTTCAAAGTCAGGGGTTAAAGTTTGTTACACTTTGTCAAACCTTCATAGAATTTAATGAAACGTTGTCAGAAGTTTTTTTTTTTATGATTAAGAGATAATCAAATAAGCAAAATTCTAAAAAGGTTTTTTCAGTATCAGTTTTTTTTCTAATAGATGGACTTAGTTACTTACAGTTAACATTTACATACAGTCTGAAATTAATCTTTTTTGACATGATAAATTGTAAACCTTCGTGGATTGTTATGAAACTTGGACAGAAGATAATCTTCAAGACCATGAAATAGCATATAAAGAAAAAATTTATTCTTTTTTAAATTCTGTATTTTACTGATAAATGAACTCACTTTTTAAGTCAACATTACACTTTTACACTGACAGCAACAATCGCAGGCGAGACACGGGGTTCCGTTGAACCCCTCACAAATTTTTTTAAAGCACATTGCAATTTTTAACAACTACCGTAAAAGTTTTAAATTGCAAAGTACTTTATCTGGCATATGTAAAACTCTTCTTATAAAGTAAAAGATGTCCTTACAACATGGCGCGGATTGGAAATCTGTGTTGGTCTATTCGAAATGTATTGCACTAGATAACTATATAAATCTTTGTTTTAAATCACGGTATTTGTTTTTTTTTTCATTTAAATTGTTTCAAGTTTTGTCATGTATAGCCTACTATACGGGATGTGTGTTTTCTCGATGAAGGCCGAACGGTGACAATTTATTGCTTAAATCCACATTATTTGGACTCTGTTGGATAGTTGTCTAGTTGGCAATCATACCTCACTGCCTTATTTTATATACATGTAGGTTGCTTTACACTGTGTATTGATTTTTATTTATGTTGTTTGTCTATAATTTATGAAACCAAAATTTTCGATCTTAGTCGAAATTGTGACAATGATTTTCGTTAAGCAGTTGAGAGCTTTGTTATTCTTTCTAAACTTTTGATCAGTAGCATTTTTTTTATTGGAGTGTAACTGGTCATGTTTATTCCAGAATCTCCTGTCAATCAAATTTATAAATTGATATCATATATTCATATAATAACTTATAGCATAGTTGCTGATGTAAAGATATTAAAAATCCCCTAGTTTCTAGTGCATCGGTCTTGGTATGATTAAACTAAAAACTTTATTTGTAATTTTCAAATTGTCCAACTTGGTTATTTTACACAACCTAAGGTAGCAGCTCATCCAATTAATTTGACCCTCTATTAGAATGGTTCTATTTTAGGTCCAGCAAGTCATTGATTCAATTAGATATAAATGTTTTCAAAAATTTGGTAAGGAGTGTACCTCATGATGCTAATTCAATAAACGACCTTATGTTGTCTTTTCAATAACGAATGCAAATGTTTAAATAGTTATCAACATACTAATCAAAGTTGATCTTAGATCTGTTTAGCTATTATCCTAATTGTCCGGAATATGACAGTTGTTTTCCATTCGTATGATGTGTTTGAGCTTTGATTTTGCCATTTGATAAGGAACTTTCCAATTTGAATTTTCCTTGGAGTTCGGTATTTTGTTATTTTTACTTTTTCCCTTTCGGCCATTAAGCTTTTAACATTTCTACGCATTTAAAAATCTGGCTTTCAGTGTTAAGGTTTGAGCTTTCATGATGAAGGCAAATCCAGGAAAGCGCTTCAGACTCACGACGATTCATTACATTTTATTTCATATTCCACTTGCTGTTTGCTACTGCTGATTGCCTGCGAGTTCAAAATGTCACAATCTGCCATGTTAGTTGTACTAAAGCTAAGGTTTAAGCTATGGAAAGTTGACAGTAAACACTTTTTTATTACGTTTTAGTTCATATGACCGCCGATGTGTTTGACTCCGATCTTAATTGACCAGGACAATTGTTCTGCCGTGTGTCGGTGGTTCTCTCAGGGCACTTCAATAAAAACTGGAGGCCACGATACACCCGAGAGTGCTGAAATTGGCGTTAAACATCAATCAATTTGAGCGCTGATGCTATGACATGTTTATTAAGGTTGCTCCTCAATGCTTGGTTTCAAGCATTTCTGATTGCAGATTTTGAAAAACATGTGTTAAGCGCGCTGTTATCTTAATTTCTACCACTAGATTGGTTAAGCTGCTAGTGGAATGTCAAACTTCAAAGTATCAACTACTTGGTATCATTCATATAGTCACTGAGGTGTAGGTATTGCCATGGTTAAAAGGAATCAATCTGATTTAAACATAGATCCTTTGTCAACGTTTTTCTTAAAAGATCTGAAAAAAACTAATTTTTAACTTTTGTTCAGAGGATTTTAAGATTTCAAGTACTCCATGATTTTCAGTGCTGAAAAATTTCTTCCTAACTATGGACGTACATATACTTGATGTCATTTATAAGAACAGAAAGTAGACTAGCGTTGTCAGGTCCCTGTAAGCGAAGCGTTGGCGCGTCATCTGTGATTAAATCCGACTGTATCAGATAATTTTTCGTTAATAAAAGTTTACTTTGTAATACTTAGCAGGACATAATTCATTCTCGTCCTAGCGATTATAACTTTGTTTCGTCTTCTATTTCACCCTTATCAATACAGACTTCCTCATGTGCATCATGAAATACAATATCATTTCTTTTCCAATTAGCTAACTCACTGTAGCACAAGAAATCAACAAATCTTAAAAGTCATAGTAAACATGAATTAACTCTTAATTCAAGTGAATAAATTATGTTCAGAACCATATCTAGAAAAAATTAACTATAAAATAATTGTTGTAAACGGCTCTTTTGTTTTGATATGTTTGCTCAACATTCTTCGACCACCTTCTAAAGAAGTAGATAACAACATGTGAGAATATGTATTGTATTCAAGTTAATGTCATGATACCATTTAATAGAATAAATATTGATTATAGAACAGACATGTTAACTTAATACCTTGTCGTATCAAAGTACCGATATACAAACAAACAAGGATAGAAGTTGCTGGAGAATATTCAAGTCGACTCTCGGAACACCAAATTCAATATTTTCCAAAATAATGTTTTGTAACAGTAGTCCTTTAACTAGACGTTTCCACGATTATGGATAATGCTGTAACAATGTTGGCAAATCTTGAATCATTGCTAATCTTCAAACTATTTCCATTGAATCTGTAAATAGAAAAAAAAATCAAATCAATAACTTCATACATATCATTACTTAGTCAAACCTAAAACTTCTAAAAATATGTACTTATCACGTCAACTTATTGTAAAATGTAGGATTCCTTATGTTATAATGTGCAACATAGCTCATGAAAGTCCATGCACATATTTTATAATCTCATCATATTACTGCATATTATGTTACATGTGTACCGAAACTACTTAATTGTTTCCTAGTAAAGATTTAATACTGTGTGACATGCAGATAAAGGTGTATCTGAAGTAATAATCATTTACATTACTCAGTAAAGGAAAATCAACAAACAAAACTAAAACGTTACTGTTAAATGCTGGTTGGAAAAATAGTGTTCTGATCCGAAACCTGTATAAAAATGATTTTAGATTTCTCTACTCCCGGAATTTTTTTTCATAAAGATTTTAAAACCATGTCTAAAATGAATCACAATCATAGGCCAATACATTGTTGATTTCCATTTAGATACCACTTTTAGCTTTACACATTCGCTTACGATTGAAAATTCTGTTACTCAAATAAAATCCAGTTATTAAATACTGACCGATCATATACAAATGAGTCAACACCGGATGTACCAGGCGTAAAATTCTTTTAGAAAAACCAAGAAACCTTCTTTTACTGTCGGCAAATAAAAAACTAGTGAATGAACCCCATAAAAGATCAAAATATTTTGCTGAAACACCCCAATCATCAAAATCAAAGATTTTACACAATTCGTCGGCTTTTCTAATGAAATATTATTTGTTAAACATATATTAAAACCATCTTAAACTATGTCCTGAAGCTCTGATTTTAAACTACCTTTCCTAATAATGTTTGTTACATTCTGATTATCTGTGTAATTTTGTTCAATTTGTACAGGGGCCTCCCTGGCCGAGTGGTCTAAGTAGTGAATTTTTTATTGTACATATTTGAATAAAATTTTACCAAGAGAAAAAGTAGTTGAACTAATGTTTCACTAGCCTGTCAACACTGAGGTTATATGTTCGAATCCCGCACGTGGTAGGACCGGTCGACTCCAATCTTAATTGACTAGGGTTGTCAGTTTTCCTACCGAAGGTCGGTGGTTCTCTCCGGGCACTCCGGCTTCCTCCACCAATAAAAACTGACCGCCACGAAATAGAGCAATAGTGCCAGGATGTCTCTAAACACCAACAAATCAATCAATTTTTCCACTCAATTGATAATGTACTGATTTCAAAATGTTGTTTACTGCTTTTAATTATATCCAATTAAACTCTTGTTTCTCTCTGACTTTTCTCACATGAAATGAGCTACATAATTTGAGAAGAACATATGAAAATATAACCAGAACCTGCATATTCGCTGGCATCAGAAAAAATAATTCTCTCAGGCCTTCTATGAAAATATGTAATATGAAAATAAATATAAAACTATAACATGATTTTGTCACTATGTAAATATCAAAATCTAAGTTCGTGAAAAATATTTTCATTCAAATATATAAACGAATCCCAATAAACTCTACAAGAGATAGTCATGTATAAATGCCTTGTCATAAATGAGGCCTAATGCAGGTAATATAGAAATAACTTTCCCATACACTTAAGCAACATTTCAGTAAGTAGTATGCATTTGTAGAGTACATTCTTCTAAGTTCCTATTTAAACATAGCTATTCCATATTTTGAATTAGTGTCCATATGCTTGTACTACCTTTTACAACAAAATCAGATTTTTATAAATCAGTTTTAACCTGTAGAGCTATATTCTCACAAATCAGAATTATCTGCAGCTCCCAACCAGTCATTTGAATAAACCACTATAGGAACAATCCTAGCTCTCCAATATTTTATTAAAACTCTGATCGGCTTAAGTAAAAGTGTAACCTGCCGAAGATAACCCGAACTGCAAAACTGTGAAAGTAAAAAATCTAATTTCATTTCCAAATTTCCATTAACCGACGAAAAACTTTTGAGGATAATTGTGAACATCTAAATGATTATAATCATGTACAAATTAAATTGATACTGGTATGTTTGCAATAAATAGCTCTTGATTAACACCTTCAAATGTAGATTTTGGTTTAATTCTACATATTGATTTGCATGTCTTTAATCTAGTAATTCAAGTCATTCTTTACCTGAACTTTGTACTTTGTACAGTTAACGGATTTTTACAAAAGGGGGTTCCTCCATTGATTTTTCAACAGAAGATACATGCGTAAAAGCTGACCTGTCATACTGTTAATTGATAAATGTATCGAACACGGTTCTGTTGTAAAATGATTTGATCATCAGACTTAATTTCATAATTGTTAATAAACTCAAAGTGATACTAAACCTCATTTGTTGTATTGTCTTGTGAAGTCTGCTCTTTACTGTCTCTTTGCCTGTTTCGTAGGGGCAGTGCTGACTTTTGATTGAATGAACAGAACCTTTGGCGAAATATCTTGGTTGATAACAGTAAACGCATTTTCCGGCGCTGTTCTGTGATCGCCATAAAATCCACTGTTTTGACCAATCCCACGAAAAATTCTTTGCGTTGCATTTATTTCCATGTTCTTAAGATTTGTTGCTAAGCTGGTCATACTTTCTTTAGATATTCATTTTCTAGATGCACTGGCAAGAGCAGAATGCAAAATTATCTGTTCCTTTTTTATCATCAGGCAAAGGACTATTAAGGTATTTGTTGACGGTGTTCCATTAATGTTAATTGCCGATTTTGAGAATTTTATTTCTCTTTGGTAACGTGTTTTTCTCCTCGGCTAATACCTCCAACGCATGCATGTATGACTTAGAATTAATCAGTTACGATATCTTTAAAATCTCAAAAGATCTTTCTGTGTTGAATAGCAATTGAATACGATTTCTTTCTAACACAACATCTTGGTTGTACAAAACGGCTTCGGAATAGGTCGACCAAATTGTTTTTGTTTTTTTGTTTTTTTTTGCTGTTTAAAACAGTTAAAAACGACTCTGCACCATCAGCAGTAATGATGTATTTTCCTTGTTATTGTTTTGTCTCACATCATGATGGTCAGAGCCTGTATTGGACATCATAAACGTTACAGCAACTATGTACAAATCTTAAAAACTTCGAATCGTGGTAACTGCGAGCACCTCCGATACTTTTAAATCCCAAACTTTATATAGTTCTATAACCCCACTACTAGTCAAACCACCTAAATTATTCTCCTGACTCATGCATTATAAAATGCACTGTTGTAGAACTAGTGGAACTAGTTCTTATCTATATATAAGTCATAAAAATACTCTTATTTCAAAGGAAATGAAATTTGTTATAATGTTTTCTTATTTTTCGATCGACCCCGTATTTCTCCATATTCTTATTCGTATCCGGAGTCTGGTCGAAGTCATACATTTATTGTTTCTTTCGTTTAGCAGTAAGAGCATAGACTGACTGGTCCCTTTGTAGTTATATTAGTGGGTCTGTGTTCTAGTGAAAAGCAGAATTCATATACACATCGCAATTTATGTTGAATTCATGATAATGCAAGTAGTAGTTATTATCGGACCTGTAAAACATTCATCAATCCATCAATCACTATATCACATATGTTTTTGCTCTTCCCATTTGATAATTGTTCGCTTCGGTAGTCACCGTACAGTGTCGTACTTTTATGTTGAAAATTTACACAAATATAAGAAGTTAACAACTTGGGGAGTAATAAAATTGAGAATGGAAATGGGGAATATGTTAAAGAGACAACAACATGACTTAAAGAGCATTATGAAAAGCTTAAATTTCAATGGAAGGTAATCAAAATTGCTTTCACACTAGATAAAGGAGAAAATAATCATTGTTCGTTTTTTAATCTATATCCATTATTCTATCAATTTCTTCTAACCCATGTGTTCTTTCAGTACTAAACAAATCTCCAGTGGGCAAAATTTCCCCATAACCATCTTTCCCAAAAGCAATCCAGTTAAACTGTAAATATGCTACAGAATTAGCATATCTATGCTTAACTACCTTGCCCTTAAACGAATGAAAATAGCCGTGTTTGCCGGGTGGTATATCCCAATCGGTTCTGTGCCCTCCTCCTCCACCATATGGGCCAAATTTACGGCGCATATTTGTAAAGAAAGTAATACTGTCAATAAACATACCATGCCATATGTTGATCTTAGTCACAACTTCTTCTTCGTAAAGAGTGAATTCCTTTTCGTTTACAATATCATGTCTTGCAGGTTTTGTTCCATGAACTAGATGTTTACCACTTTGGTAATGAATATGTAACCCACCTACAAGATCAATACCTTCCCATTTTACAATCCATACTCCGATTGTTAGAGGTCTGTCATTTATTTCAATCAATTCAGAATCATTAAAACAACTGACAATTCCAAATCCATATTTTTCCAAATACATTTTGGGAATGGAAGCATACTCTTGATAGCTAACTAAAGTTCTTTCGGATTTAGAATACTTTCTACTAACCTGTGTTGTCGTTCGTTGTGTTGTGCATATTCGTGCCTTAAAAGCATGAAAGACTGTATATTCATTTGTCATACTCTCTAACATATCTGATGGTATATCCGAAAAACGGATGGCGTTTAATAAGTCCTCGACTAATTTTTCGTTCTCCACATTATTAGCAGACAAATAATTACCTAATGAAGCAAGGATACATGCTTCATAATTTTCAACTGGTATTCCATGTTTGAAAACGGTCAATTTTTCATTATTCAACAAAAATTTAAAGTCTTTATGTGGTAATTTATGAAACAATCCATTTTCAACTGCAGTTTGGAAGTTCTCTGATATGCATTCTAATACTGCATCGGACAGCCTGTCAAGTGAAAATTGTTTTACGAATGAAATCAAACTAACTGCTTTAGAAATGGTAATATTAGACACAATAACGTTTTGACATCGTATTAAAAGTGTTGGAACATCACAGTCATTTTTTGTTTCTTTGAACTGGTTGTCATAGTTGCTGATAATATTTGTATCTATTGATTCCATACCACTGTCCTTAAAACAAGAGAGGAAAAAAACTAACAGTAATGCATACAGATCGTTTCTAGTTTATATAATTAATGCTATTTCATGTGTCTATTTTTTTCATCACAATGATAAGGTAGAGTTTCTAAAACCGACAAAAGCATCACTTAAAACTCGTCCTCTATTCGGTTCACTGACGGACAATTTTTTTTTTTTACCTTAACTCTATTTTACAAAAGCATATCAACTGAAAATGTTCTAACTTCGACTTAAGACTTTCTCTTCTCGTCCAAAAATGTTTTTTTTTTTTTATAAAATTATATATATTAATTATATGTCGGCGGAAACTGTACTGTTTAAGATACATATAGTTACATTTCCTTCCTTTCGTCTGTAATAAAAATAGCAAACTTGTCAACAAGTAATATTAGATATGATCTGATAATCGTCATCTGGCAATGCGATGTTAAAAGGACATATTTGATCAAAACACATTCATGAAAATTAAATTGGGTCGACGCCATTGCTGAAGGACGTTCCGTCCCCGAGGGTATCACCAATCCAGTAAAGAGTAATAATGCGCTGTCATGAAACATTAATGAGCTTATTATCTGTTAATATACAGTTCATAAAATGTTAAAATAGTTAGAAACACTAAGGTTTTTCTACCAAAGACATAGATGGCCTTAGCCAAATTTGCAACAATAATTTGGAATATTTTGGTTTTTTTTATCATGTTTAACTTCGCAATTCTTTAGCTTTTCAGCTATTTTGAGTCGAATGCCACTGAAAAGACTTATATAGACCCGAGACTCCTGGTACCATATTTGTATTATAATAGTCTCAGAGTAGACGAAACACTTGTTTCTTGTACTATGATTAGTGAACTTTGATTTACCTCTTTGTATCATTACGTTTTCTTGACTATGTCATAAGAGGGAAGGGGAGAGGGGTGGAGGTGAAAGGAAAATAAACATAAATTTACATGCTTAATACGTGTGAAAGACATTTTTGTCCGTATCAAATAATGTTCTGTAACAAGAGGTGAAAAACATCATGTGCAATGTATTTTTTTGTATTTATGGCGCGATTCTGAACATCTCACAAACGGTTTAAACTCTATGAACGTGTCGTTATTAAGGAGCAATGATTTTGTTCAGATGAAATTGTCTAGCGATATTACAGTTTAAAGACAAGATCAAAAAATTTTATAATCTTTCTGAAATTTTGTCTTTTATTGTTGTGATTTAACATAGTGTTGTAATATATTCTATGTTGTTGAATACTGCTTGAAGTTGCATTGAGCTTCATTAAAAATGTTGTTTACATGTCGAATACATAATAAACGCTCGATTTATTTCCCTGACCCCATTAAAAAGAGAATCTTGTGTTTGTAATGTTGTTATTAAAACGTTTTTCCGCGCATCAGGTTTGTATTTGATTGATTGATTGATTGATTGTTGAATATTTAACGTTCAGTTGCAGATAGTTCATACATCTTAAGGACGAGATAACTATTTGATTAAGGATTAAAAAAATGACTGAGATGCCACGATTTTAATATTTTTAATTTATTATATCCACACGTCTTTTTTATAACTATGACATATTTGTCATATTTACTGATCCAGGTTAATATATGTCAGTGTAAAACAACTTTGATACAAATAACAATAACATGCAATTACGTTTTAAACTCTGGCTTTGCAAAAGAAATCCTTGATAACAAAGTTTCTAATGGAATCGCTCAAAGATGCATTCTGTGCATTTAACTTGATAACATTCTACGGATAAATGAAAAAGTCCCATATCTGATAATTGCATTAATGATCAGATTTTCTGTCCCATACAAAAGTATCTCGATATAAATAATAGAATTATGCTAAAAAAGTAAGTTGCGTACACCTTTAACATTAGGACTTATTTGAAACTCCTTTTTAGCTCACAGGGGCCCACAGGGCCCAATGTGAGCTTATGCCATCACTTGACGTCCGTCGTCGTCCGTCGTCTGTCGTCGTCGTCGTAAACTATTTCAAGAATCTTCTCCTCTGAAACTACTTGGCCAAATACCTTCAAACTTTAACTGAATGTTCCTTAGTGTATTTAGTTTATAAATTGTATCCGAAGTTTTGATCCATCAACAAACATGGCCGCCATGGCTAAAAATAGAACATTGGGGTCAAAAGCATTTAGAACAAATCTAACATGGGGTAAACATGTTCAATAGGTCAAGATCTATCAGCCCTGAACTTTTCAGACGAATCGAACAACCCATTGTTGGGTTGCTGCCACTCAATTGGCAATTTTAAGGAAATTTTGCAGCTTTTGGTTATTATCTTGAATATTATTGAAGATAAAGATAAACTGTAAACAGCAAAAGTGTTCAGCAAAGTAAGATCTACAAAAAAAGTTTAGTATAAGGGGTCAATTGACAATATTAGTCATATAAACTTTTTTGTAGATCTAAAAAAATAGCAGTTAGAGCAAAAGTGACATGGAGTTAAAGTGATAAATAAGTCAAGATCTATCTGCTATGAAATTTTTAGACCAATTGGACCACTCATTGTAGGGTTACTGTCCGAAATAGTTTATTTTAATGAAATTTTACTGTTTTTGGTTATTATCTTTAATATCATAATAGATAGAGAAAAAATGTAATTAGCAAAAATGTTCAGCTGAGTAAGATCTATAAATAAGTCAAATGATCAAAATAGTCAATTGACTCCTTAAATAGTTATTGCCCTCGAAACGTTTATTTTTTACATTTTTTTGTGCTAGTCTATTACTTTTTCAAAAATCTTCTTCTCTGAAACTACTGGGCCAAATACTTCCAAACTTTAACTCAATGCTCCTTAGGGTATTTCTTTTATAATTTGTATCCGAAGTTTTGTTCCATCAACAAACATGGCCGCCATGGCTAAAAATAGAACATAGGGGACAAAAGCAGTTTTTGGCTTATATCTCAAAAACTACAGCAGTTAGATCAAAAGTTGAAGAGAGTTAAAGTAATAAATGGGTCATGATCTATCTGTTATGAAATTTTCAGACGAGTTCGACATCCCATTGTTGGGTTACTGTTGGAAATAGTTTATTTTTTATTAAATTTTAATGTTTTTGGTTATTTTTTTTTTACATTTTTTGTAAAAGTCTCATTACTTTTTCAAAAATCTTCTTCTCTGAAACTACTCAGCCAAATACTTCAAAACTTTAATTGAATGTTTCTTAGGGTATCTAGTTTATAGATGGTATTCGGGGATTTAATCCATTTAAAAACATGGCGGCAGTTTTTAAAAATAGAACATAGGGGTCAAATGAAGATTTTGGCTTTCATCTCAAAAACTAAAGCAGTAAGAGCAAAACTGACATAGGTGAAAGTGTTAAACAGGTTTAGATCTACCTGTCAGGTAATGTTCAGGACAATAGGACAGCTTATTGTTGGGTTACTGTCCAGAAATAGTTAATTTTTAGGAAATTTTACAGTTTTGGGTTATGTATTATCTTTAATATTATTATAGAAAGAGAGATTGTGTAAATGACAAAATTGTTCAGCAAAGTAAGATATACAAATAAGTCAAATGCCTGAAACTGAAATTACAGCCAGGTGAACGATATCAGGCTCTTGTTAACCTCTTATTTTAAATTTGTAACTTATAAATACAAATGAGAATGAATAGATGAATCTATTCAGATTTCATAATTTTTTTTTTTTTTTTTAGAAATTCACCTTTTGAAGGTAAATCCAGAAAAGCGCTTTGGGCGCATAACATTAATAACGTGTTGTTTTCATTTTTGCAGCACTGACTCGATACCTCTGCTGGTGGACTATACGTCCCCGATGGTATCATCAGCTCAGTTGCCATTACTTCGGTATGAAATGATTTGTAACAAACCTTTCTAAAATTGTCCGTTTATAAATTGTGAAATTATAAAGAACCTAAGGTTTCAACTCCCTCTGGCAAAGTTGACCTTTGATAGATTTGGTTTTTATGTTCTTTTGGCTATATAGCTCTTCAACTATTTCGTTTGTATACATCCTTGGCTTCCAAATATTCGGCTGTTAGCGTTCCTGATGAAGGTAAATCCAGAAAAACGCTTCGGAAGCATGTGATTAATAACGTGTTGTTTTCAGTTTTTAAAAATATATATAACAATAAAAAATGCAAAGATTAAAAATTTTAGATCGGATAAATTTTAAAATAAAATCTATATCGTGCAAACAATGCATGCAGCATAGAATCCCCTCCGTCATTCTTCAATGCATAAGGCCAAGATAAGTTCAGAAAGATTAATTATGTCGAGTAATGCCACTATGTTGGAAAAGAGAGGCAAAAGATACCAAAAGGATATTCAAACTCATCAGTCGAAAACAAACTGACATGGAATGACAAAAAAGCAAAAAAAGTCGAAAAGACAAACAACAGTATACGAAACACAACATAGAAAAATAACGACAGAGCAACACAAACCCAACCAAACACCGAGACCATATCAGGTGCTCCGGAATGGTCAGCTAATCCTGCTCTACATGTGACACCCGTCGTGTTACTCATGTCAATACGAATACGGTAATAAGTCTAATTCGGTAGATCACATTCGTCAATAACCAGTTTCGCGACCTAACCCAAGTTAGATTAAGTTCCGAAATTTGAGCAGGTTTATTATCTCCCGTTATGTCTGGTAGCGGTAGTTGATGATTATTATTTTTATAGACATAAATTACAAGAAAGAAATCACCACTGTCATTTCATTTTAGAAAACTGCACCGGTCTTTATTATAATATACAAATAATTTTATAATGTTGCAACAATTCCGTCAAAATCACCTTCAACGATAAAACATGTCTTTCAACCAGCTGTTCGCTGACATAACCTGTACACATCAAAACGTTTTCTCAGAAGAATCGTGTGTTTCTTTTTGAGAAGATTGGCTATTTGACTATCATTTCCCTCATTATACAGCAAACGGTGAGTAAAGCAGGCTGTAGGAGCTTTGTGTAAAATAGGTTTAAAATGTTGCTATGCGAATAACTTCCTGGATAACCAATATAATGCAATAATACAATTATCTCTATAAATAATGAAAATGAAACATCATGTATTTGCATGTATATTTCTAATAACACAGTTTAACATATTGTTTTTTTAAATGTACGAGTGTTGTTTAGAAATAACTTATAATCAGTATCGTTACAATTCTTTACTGTTGATTTTGCCTACTTTTTCATAAGAAGAGTAACTTTTCTATTACTCTCTCGTCATCGGTTTTGATTCTGGTTTTGTGGATTGGATAAGTAAAAAAAAATTGTAATTCCTCGTGTTTCACTTTTTTCCACTAAAAATAA